AGAGAGAGACACAGCGAGAGAGGGAACACAAGCAGCGGGAGTGGGAGAGGGAGAAGCAGGCTTCCCGCGGAGCAGGGAGCTGGATGATCCCAGGACCCTGGGATCGCAACCTGAGCCGAAAGCAGATGCTTAACGACTGAGCCACCTAGGTGCCCCCCAAGGGAAAGATTTTAAGGCAGGTGTTGAAAAAATGAGTAAGAGTTCTCACAGTGGACCTGATAAGGAAAAAGCAAATGCATAATTCAGTGGTAACGCTCAGGGTGAATTGCAGAAAGAAGGCACTAGGGATCCAAAGACCCCCCCAGTTAGCTGGTTATTGCAGTATTTTTGGTAAGAAATTATAGGCTTCTATATTTTATTTTTTTAATAATTTGGAAGAAAATAAAATTGTCTCTGAAGTCCTTACCATGTTAGGACATGGAAGGGATTCCCACAAAAATGTAAAATACTGATATTACCTACCAACCTAAAATCAAAGATGTCCAAGGCTGCAAAGTATGACGGAAATAGCACAAGCTCTAGGTCTGGTAATAGGTGAGTTTAAATCCTGTCTCTACCACTCACTTCACTTTTTTGTACATAAAAAGTGGGAGGATAAGATCTGTATCGTGGGGTACTAGTAAAAATCAACTGAGCCAAAGCAAAAGTCCTAACAAGGTACATGGCAGAAGGTATGTGCTCAACAAGTGTCCTGTTTCTTCTCTTCTAGACTCAAAACAACAAACACTAACTACGTTTACACAAAAAGTGACCAGTTGCTCTTTCTCTCTTCTTTCGGTGGCCTGCTCTTGATACCATAGTGCATACATAGGAATTACTCTAAAAATATTTGCAGACTTGCCTGTGATTAAGATCCTGTGTCCAGCGTTGCATGACTTGTCTGTGGGGCCCTCAGCTTCCTGATTTGGAAGTCATCAGTACAAATGGGGCCATGTCACTTTTACTTTTGCCGTAACAATGCCATTTGAGAGGACATAGATCTATGTAGATCTCAGTCCTCTGCATAAAGGAAATCAGGTCAAATAAAAAATAAGTAAGTGTGTGAGCGTGTGTGTATGTGTGTGTGTCCCCTTCCTTCAAAAACCAAAAGTGGCATTACCACGACACCACTTTTTAGAAGTATTCTCTGACTCCCCATCAGAACCACGCCCTCCTGGGTGCAATTAACACAGAGAGTTGAGTCATCTTTAAAAATATCTTTGCCTCCTTCACACTTGGAGCTCTGTCAAGGCAGGGGCCAGGTTTCACTCTTATCTGTGTCTCTCCAGGACCACGAATAATGTTTGGAAATAAAGTTTCTCAGCTATCTGAAAGTAGAGCGTTCCTAGGAAACTTTTCATAACCTGAAACCGCATAAAGCGAAGAGTACCCCCTGCTCTCCTAAGGTTTAGCTTATGCCACGTCACTTTCATGAGAAAAGCCATTACCATACTAATGCAGATAAATGGCATACCATGAACTTTAGGAAAGTGGAGGTTACCTGTCGTAGGAGCTGAATAAAACAGTTTCTGTGAGGTGTGTTTACCATAAAACATAAATATTGATGTTGCTATCTCATCACTTCACAGAAATATGCAGAAGTTATTTTAATGCTTGTACGTTATTGCAAATTATTTGAGAAATTAAATGTGGCTAAAAATTCAAGTAGTTGCCATTTATAAATTATGACCTGGTGTACTTGCAGACAAAAAATATTTGTTTATTTTTGCAATTAACATTCAAATGTATTAGACATAACTATTCTATGTGGAACTTTGAGGTTATGGTAAGCAAAGATTCCCTGATCTACTAACAGCACTCTGTGTCCAAAGCTAATTCAGAAGAGACAGAACCTCCAAAGTGACAAGAAAAACCACTAGACTCTATGGAAACGCATTTCAATATGTCACAGGAGGATGGAGGGTTCCAGAAAAGATGTCTCCAAGGAAAAAGAAAAAGAGAGAAACTGATAAAACATCTGATGTGTTTGAACATGTCAAGAAACAATTTACATTTCTGGCCGACAGTGTGGGGATGAATTAGTGAAAGAATCCTAGAATAGGAAGCCACCAACAACAGACAATTATTAACTCTCAGGCAAAACAAAAACTGTACAAGACAAGAAACTCAATCATAGGATATTAGGTGGCTCAGTCGTGCACCATTTTTACATAAAACAGTGATGTAAAAACTGAATGAAGATTTAGACAAAATTTGTTAAACAACCAAGTGGGAAAAAACGGAGACGAAAAAGTTTGCTTTGTGAGTATGTTCCTAGAGCAGGCTGAGAAAACCTCATCTTACAAAATCGGAAGCCAATATATTTTCAACTAGAATACCAAATAATGACTGTATATGCATGCTATTTAGAAACATAGAAGTAAGTACTAGAAAAAGATGGTGAAAAGACTCACATATGTTGGCTTTAGGGAACTAAGTAAGAAGTTGAGAGAAGTGACATAAAAGATCTTTGTTGTTGGGTGTTATAATTCTCACAGTACTGTTTGAGCTTTTTTTTTTTTTAAGATTTTATTTATTTTGACAGAGAGAGACAGCGAGAGAGGGAACACAAGCAGGGGGAGTGGGAGAGGGAGAAGCAGGCTTCCCACCGAGCAGGGAGCCCGATGCAGGGCTCGATCCCAGGACCCTGGGACCATGACCTGAGCCGAAGGCAGATGCTTAATGACTGAGCCACCCAGGCGCCCCAGGACTATTTGAGCTTTTAAACCATTGTACATGTTACTAAGATAAAATTAAAAATTAAGTTAGAAAAGTCAAGATAACCACAAGAGAAAAGAAATTACAGACCTAAGTCGACCCTGTTTGGAGGTTAGAAGTGGTGTAACATCCAGAGGCATGTGAGAATGTTCCGGTATGCTTCCCATTGTCCCAGAAACTGGGCTACTCTGATATTTAGTGGCAGGGCCAATGATGAAGACCTGCCAAGGGCAGGACAGCCACACACAGAACCAAGAAATGATGAGACCAAATGCCAACCCGATGGGAAACACCGCACTCAATGGGAAAAAGAGTAGAGAAAACTATAATGGGGGAGGGGGAGGTAGAAGAGAAGAGGGAGAAGCAAAAGGAAACTACCACATTAGAAAATATAAAATAATAATATGGCAGAAAGAAGCTGAAACCTTGGTAATCACAAACCCACTAAACAGTCCTGTTTGAACAAAATAAAGGTGAAGAGGAAAAAATATTTATGATGTAAATACTGATAAAAATAAAGTAGACTTAGGACTATTGATATTGTGTAAAAAGGCATCTGGCTGGCTCAGTCAGAAAATCATGCAACTCTTGATCTCAGGGTAATGGGTTCGAGCCCCATATGGGGTGTAGAGATTATTTAAATAAATAGAACTTTAAAAATTACATAAAATGAATATAAAGGAAAAGCATTAAATGGGACAGAGTAATATTCTCATATCAATAAAAGTTACAGCCCACCAAAACCATATAGCAATCATGAACTTTTGGGCATCTAACAATAGAGTTTTGACAAACACAAGAGAAAAACCTGTGATAAATGTAGGATATAACGAAAATTCCACTAACACAGGAGAGACTTTCTCAGGAAATAACAGAGAAAGAGAGAATTTAATTAACAGAGTTTATAAATTTATTCTCTTGTGGACAGATGTCTCTGACTTTATACGTATAGGTACATATGTACGTATGTGTATATAAGATGATACAATACACACAGGCGTACGAGAGACAGAGATTGCTATTCAACAACAGAAAATTATTTTCAAACACCGTGAAGTATTCACAAATATTGGAATTCACACAGGTACATTCTCTGACAATTAAACATAAAAAGAAGAAAGAAAAGGGGCGCCTGGGTGGCTCAGTCCTTAAGCCTCTGCCTTCGGCTCAGGTCATGGTCCCAGGGTCCTGGGATCAAGCCCCGCATCGGGCTCCCTGCTCGGCGGGAAGCCTGCTTCTCCTTCTCCCACTCCCCCTGCTTGTGTTCCCTCTCTCGCTGTCTCTCTCTGTCAAAATAAATAAAATCTTAAAAAAAAAAAAAAAGAAAAAATGGGAGAGAAAACGAAGGGAGGGAGGAAGAGGAAGATTAACAAGAAAAGAATAAGTCAATCTATCCACTTGGATTTTTTTTTTTAATTCTAACTAAATTTTGTAATAAAGTGAAAATAAAAGCAGAATGATTTTTAAGGAAAAAAATGTGGTATTAAAATTGTCTTAAGAAAAGGCAGAAACCTGAAAACAAACATCTTTAATGCAGCTAAACGCTTTAAAAGAGATTTCCCCTCAACAGATGGAAGTTGAGGTAAACGGCTGGAGGGAGCAAGTGATGAGGCGGAGCAGACAGCTGCACGTGCTTCCGGGGAGAGCAAGTGATGAGGCGGAGCAGACAGCTGCACGCGCTTCCGGGATTCTGGGATGCTCTACAGCAATGGGCAGGACTCTGAGGCACGTCCCTGAGAAAAAGACTTTGTTCTAAATACGTGCCAAAGTGAGATGTCGTGAAACTGCCTTAAGAATTTTCCTTTTTATTACCGTGGCTCCACCCAGGTCCATCAGGTTCAGCCAGGTCAGAAGACTTAGTACACAAGCAGAAATAAGAGAAGCAAGGGAAGAAAGAAGATTGACTACACCCTCTCTTCCAAAGGGCTAGGACCGAGGCAGCCCTAAGTCAGATTTGAAGTTTTAACTATTTCATGGACTAATTATTCTAAATACCAAAATAAGCCTGTGTTTTGTAACCAAGAGTGGCCGTATGTATCAGCCAGGGTCCCAGCAGGACACAGATGGTGCTCACGCTGGGTAATTGAGAGTTTCATAAAGGACGATTTACAATGGTGTGAGCAGGGCTGGGGAGAGCAACAAGGGAGAGTGCAGTACCTCGGGGCTTGCAACAGCATGAAGTCATTAGCTCCCCGGAAGGGGCTGGGGCAGAATCAGTTTCCAAAACCTGTAGAGAGTAGATCCTTGCTAAGGGCTGCCTGGCAGAAGAGGAGGCCTTTAGCTCAGGGACACAGCCAACGCACTGCAATCCAGGAGGGAGGGGACCCGAGGAACAAACATTCTGACTCCTCTTTCCTCCCGCCTCACTCTACCACCTCCTGCTAATACTTCCCATTGATCAAATGCAAACTGAAGTCGAAGGACGATGACATCAATATGGATTGGCTGCCCAGGGCCCAGCGCAGAGGCAGTTGAGAGTAGATCTAAACAGACAGAGAAAATATCCAGCACACATTAAGCCTTAAGACCACTGAGCCCACCTGTGTTGACTTCTGAGGGGAAGAAAAGAGCTACCCCCACTAAGTGTGAAGGGACAGGGCGGGGTGGCGGGGGGAGGAAAAAAACAAAGTTATTTTTAAGAGTGTGCCCTGTGGGCGCCTGGGTGGCTCAGTTGGTTGAGCAACTGTCTTCGGCTCAGGTCACGATCCTGGAGTCCCAGGATCGAGTCCCACATCGGGCTCCCTGCTCAGCGGGGTCTGCTTCTCCCTCTGACCCTCTTCCCTCTCGTGCTCTCATTCTCTCTCAAATGAATAAATAAAATCTTTAAAAAAAAAAAAAAATAGAGTGTGCCCTGAGTGTCCTCCTTGTGGACGGCACGGTGTGATGTATAACAGAATGTGGATATAATTTAACTACTGATTTAGTAATTCAGGGAAGTGATAAATTCCCCTAGAAATAAATAGTGAGAGGAAATATTTCAGCCCTGGTTCTGGGACTCGACCCTTTGGGCTCTAACCCTGCACTTGTCGTGTTGTTGTTTTCTGAAGATCCTAATGTGCTTAGCTACGGAGGCTTCTAAGACTCCCTTTCCCATTTACTTTAGTCCTGTCTAACATATGCGGCTTTTTGTCTTAACTGCCTTTGCTGCTGCTATTCTGCTGTAATTATTCTTATATCTTTCAATTAAGTCTCTTCGCATTCAGCCATTTATGCATCGAAGTATGCTATCTAGTGAAAGACACTTTTCTCTGTCTTTGAAGAAAAATCTCTGCTCTTCTCTTCATCCATCAGAGCACTGCAGTAATCTAAACTGGCTTCAGCTTCTGATTGCCACTATGCTAATCTGAGCCCCATTTGGAAGGATGGAACAGTACACTGGAAAAAGCATCATGATAATAATAATAGCTATCATTTATTAAGCCTTACGATGGGACAGGCACTTTGCCAAGCGCTCTACATGTGTAGAGAAGGAAAAATGTTTTCCTCGACCCTCTTAGGGGTCCCCGGCTAGGGCTGAAAATTAAACTGACAAAGACAGATTAACAGGCAAAAAGCATACAGATTTATTTAAAGTTTTATATGCCCTGGGAGCCTTCATAAGGAAATGAGGACCCGAAGAAATGATTAAACCTGAGTATTTTCATGCCAGGTTTGATGACGAGTGGACGGTTGTGGAGGAATATGACGGTCACAGAGCATAAGGTAAGCGGAGGAAATTGGGGGAAACTTAGCAAGGCCTGTTTATTCAGATTTTGCTCAGTGTCCCTCTGTCTTCAGAGATAAGGATGTTCCTTTCCTCCAGGTATAGGCACCTTTCACCTGAGTGTTTTATGACCTGTTTCAGGGGAGAAGGGCAGGGGAAGTCAGAGTAAACTTCACACTTGTTTTCTCAAACTCCTTCAGCTTCCAAAGTATTGTACCATGCCCTGAACCCCACCCCATATTTTATACTGCTGATATCACCCCCAGTTAAACTGGAAGAATATGGGGTTTCCTTGAGTTTAAGGATTTGGAAGAGAGCATAGGTAACAGATAAAAGTAAACCTGTAAGCCAAGGGTCACTGAACAGAGACTGCTCTTATTCACATTCTCTATACATATAGCAGTTTATCTCTAAGCCTTACTATCTCTGTGACCTCAGGCAATTCACCCAACCTCCCTGTCCCTCAGTTTCCTCATCTGCAGAAGCAGAGTGCTAATAACACCTGGGTCTTCCTACTTGATAGTGGTGTTGAGGAAATGTATTGGATGTATTATTGGAGTGGATGCATTTGGAAATGACTTTCCGGGAATTAGTGTATGATTGTTGTTAGTAAATGGTTTTTGTACCCACTGCACCAACCTACACTGGCTCTCCTAAGAAGAGACCTCAGAGTAAGTAGTCTTTTATGGAGCCCCGCCTTGTCTTGCTGGCCTCCTTGAAATTCCCTATTCTGGGCTGCCTGGCTGCCTCAGCTCTTTGCACCCGGGACCATCCAAGCCTGCTGGGCGTGCAGTGAACCCTGTCCGTGAAGTTCCTCTGACACCTGCACTCAGTCGTCCCTCTGGCCTCTCAGCACCGGGAGAAGGGCGTTCATCTTGTTCCAGAACCTTGGGGCAGGAGGAAGTAGCTCCTGAACAACATGCACTATAAAAGCTGTCCCCCAGGGACAAGTATTTTTCCCAGTGGCCTTTTTTCTGTTTCCCTTTAAAAATAATAATAAAATTCTTTTATTACATAACTGTGGGACAAGGGATCAAACATCCGTGCTTAAAACGCAAAAGGTGCCCTACATTTAAACCTCTCCTGCCCAGAAGAAATACCCTTTGCAACATTTAAATCCTTTAACTCTTTCCTCCCTCTGCTACATGAAAATTATAAACAGCACCATGCTATTAATCTGTAACTTCCTAGTGACATCACCGTAGAAATGAAATACCCCTAAAAACCTCAACCCCTGTGGGTTTGCCTGGCCAGGTTCCAGTAGCAAATCAACTCAAAAATTTTATGAACACTAATTTGTTTTTCATTATTTTCCTATCAATCACCACACAGATTTTCACTGTATCACACAACTAAGCAAAAAAGAAGGGGGGGTGGCTTCCTAAAACTACTCTATGAATTACACTAGGCAAATTGATTCTGTTTGCCAGTTAAATACAAATGTCTTATTTTAAATAATTCCATTTTAGCATATGTTTTCAAGAACACCTCTATAAATCTGGCATTTGTGAAAATGGGCTAATGGCATCCTTTTTTTGACTAATGAAAATCACAGGCTTCAGAGTCCGCTGAATCTTTCAGATCACACCGACTAATATTTATAGATCACACAATGCTGCAGATACTGAGGCATGACTCTGGGGTCTCAATCCTGGTTCCCGTTTCACAAGGCAAGTGAGAAGAGCTGAGGGGTGAGTAGTCTTGAAGAGGCTGACCTGAAGAGAGGTGGTTCATGTCCAGATATTAGCACCCTAAAGATTTCTGAGCCCACTGACTAATGGGGCAAGAACTCCTGACAACCTGCCTCAACAAGAATTTGGGGTTGTTGGGTTTTTGGGGTTTTTTTTTTCTGTATTAAAAAAAAAAATTTCCAGAACTCCCACAAACTAATTCACCCTGGATAATTTCACTTCTTTGAGTCTGTGTCCTTATCCATAAAAGGGAATAATGATATAGGAAGTGTGTAAAGTGCCTGGCATGGTGGCAAAGAGTAGTTGTTTAAAAAGGCAACTATTGGGGCACCTGGGTGGCTCAGTCAGTTAAGCATCCAACTCTTGGTTTCTGCTCAGATCAGGGTCATGAGATCAAGCCCCCTGTGGGACTCTGTGCTCAGCGTGGCGTGTGCTTGGGATTCTCTCCCTCTCCCTCTGCTCCTGTCCCAATTTGCACATGTACAACCTCTCTCTCTAAAATAATAAATAAAATCTTTTAAAAGGCAGCTGTTATTGTTATTGTTATTATTCCTGTCGTTCCTATGATAGCAAGTTTTCTCTATATGTGGTTTTCATGTTTTCAAATATCTCATTAGACTTGCTAAGGTATATTTAGACCTATGCCATATACCTAAATGCATTTGATGACAGGATAGGTCATAAAGCAGCTCTGCTACGGTTTTTGTCTTTTAGACAGATGCTCTTCAGAACCAATGTATCATAGAAATTAAAAGCCCAACTTGAGGTATTACTGAGTCATAGTCCATTGCCTGAGGAGAGCAGAACCATCCATCCCCCACAGACAGGGCTGCACTTGGTACTGACGGGTCTTACTAAATCTGTATGTGATCTAGGTTTTGTTATACACTTGAAATGGTTAATTAGAAGAGGTAGGGGAATCTGAAATGTCACAGCAAGCTCCTCCTGGCCCACTGTCACGTTTCATGAATCTTCGTGCTGAACCCATTTGGATTAAGCAGTGACCCCCTCCAAACACATTGCTTCTGTGCCTCTTCTCTCTTATCACCTATTTATGTCCCAATACATCTGCATTGTGTGGCTCGGTGAGATCCATTAAGTCCTAGGGCAGTGTTTACGGCTATTGTTTTTATTATTTCTTTGAGGCTCAGATTTCTCACATAAAGGGATAGAAAACTACAGTACAGATAGTGAGTAAAACACTTCTTTAAAGAAGGGGGGAAGAAGTATGTATAAGATTCACAATTTCAGTCTGCGAATTCTCAGAGCAATCCTGTGGGTGAGAGACAATAATTTCTTGTAGCTTTTAGGTAAAGATATAATTTACCTTTATTTGCAGACACAAAACTAAGAAAACATGTCTTGCCATCGATGCCTGTGGCTTTAAAAATATTTATGAGATTGACATAGTTACCTGGAGGCAGACACTTCCTTTCAACGTCAGAGGTCAGGCCCATTGGCTAACACCCCAGATAATATTGATGTACCTTCAAATTTTAAAATAACGTTTATACCATTTATTTATTCATTCATATATAGAGCACCCATCCTGAAGTATCTGGGACACTGAACAAGGTTTACATAAATCTGACTGTTTTTTCCTCTGGGCCATTTGGCTCAGTCTGGTAGACCATAAATATTCAATAATACTTTACAATGACAAAGCATCTTTTATGCAAACATCTTTAAGCACATTATTCACCAATATTACAATCTCCTCTTTAACCTACTGGTAAAGTCACAGAAACTAATTGACTTTCTTCAAGGTCCCACCACAAATTGTTTACTTTGTAGATTAGGGTCCAGGTGTCCTGATCCTAGCTATAACTAAAGGGAGAAAAAAAACCAAACAAACACATTTTTTTAGGTGCTTAAGCTGATGACCTACACTAAATATTTCTAAATTGAATCTAATAGGCAAAACGTCCTCCTTAAAGATGTTAAATGTTGTGATGCATCCAACTGAATTTTATAACTTTTGTTCCTAATTTGCCCAAGGCCAGCTACCATTTTCAGAGCCCCAAGTATGACCTATTTTAATTGAATCCTGTTACAAACACTTAAACTTTCACTCTTTAATCAAATCAGGTTTCCAAATAGAAATTAAAGTTGGAGCAGAACAGCAAAACTTTTCATGGAAAGGTCCAGTTGCAGTAATGGCATGGCCGTACCAAAATACTGGAGCAAAGTGAAAAGCTGGGAATCACTGTGAGATTTGGGCAAGTCTCAAACACTTTCAGGTTATGCAAGCAAAAGAAAATACTTTTAATTCATTATTTTACAACTTCTTTATGTTAAAGTAAGGCAGGTTTAATATAGACAATTAATAAAATACCCAAAAAATGGGAAAAAAATTTAAAATCACTCACAACTGAGGCACCTGGGTGGCTCAGTTGGTTAAGCATCTGCGTTAGGCTCAGGTCATGATCCCAAGGTCCTGGGATCAGGCCCTGCATCGGGGGTGGGGGGGGGTCCCTGCTCAGCGGGGAGCCTGCTTTTCCCTCTCCCTCTGCCCCTCCCCGTGCTTGTGCTTTCTCTTGCTCTCTCTAATGAATAAATTAAAAAATCTTTAAAAATAAAATAAAATAAAAGCACTCATACCTATGATGGCCGCTAAGAACACATTTGTAAACCCCCAATCTCAGGGAGCATAGCTGACCAGCTGACCAAGGGCTCTAGCTCTGAGCCCTGAAATCCATCACAGGTGCAGTTTGCACTGAGGCCACACTTCCCCGAGCTGATCACAGGCAGTGCTGAATGTGGCGAGGCTACTATGACAAGCTTGTCCCTGGAAGATGTGGGACTTCCCGACAGGTGACTTTCGACTTCCCTAAAGACCTGGCTGAGTTTTCCCTTGCACTGTCCTGTAGTCTAAATGCTTCACTCAAACTTCCTTTTTCCTTCCCTCTCTCCTTCACTCAAAAGACCTGTATCCCCAGCCTCTCCCAGCTCTCACTCGTTTCTGTCATGAAGAATAAACTTCTTGCATGTTCAATACCATCCTGGCTTCTGCTTCCTGGAGGACCCAGTCTCACACTCCATCTGATGGCGAGGATGATGATGGAGATGATGGTGATGATAATGATGTTGATGTTGATGATGGTGGTGGCGTTGATGGTAGTCAAGATACTTAACATCTATTGAGTTCTTTTAAAAATGCCAGGCCACGGGGGCACCTGGGTGGCTCAGTCGGTTAAGCACACACGTACTCTTGGTTTCGGCTCAGGTCGTGATCTCAGGATCTTGAGATCAAGCCCCGCACCGGGCTCTGCACTCAACATAGAGTTGGCTTGGGTTTCTGTTTCCCTCTCCCTTGGCCACCCCACCTCAAAATAAATAAATAAATCCTTAAAAAAAAAAAAAAAAAAAAAGCCAGGCCTTGTGCTAAGAGGTTGCCTATATTATTTCATGTACTATTCCCAATAACCTTCAAAAGATAGATATTACCCACCTGAGGGAAGTAAGTCTTAAAAAGGTTAAGTAACAAAAACAAGACCACACTGCTTGTGAAAGTCAAATATGAACTCATATTCTTCCTCAACCAGTAGAGCAAAGAAGCACTGGTGCTAGTACAACTATATTACTTCTCTGTATTAATATTTTGTAGTATAATCTTCCAGACCTTTTTCTGGATAGGTATCACAGTTACAATTACACTCAAAATAATAATGTATTAAGTTAAGCCTTTTTTGGTAGAAAATTGAATTTTTCTTTAAACTTTTTGACGCCTCGGGGCGCCTGATGTCTCAGTTGTTAAGCGTCTGCCTTCGGCTCAGGTCATGGTCCCAGGGTCCTGGGATCGAGCCCCACGTCAGGGCTCCCTGCTCTGCGGGAAGCCTGCTTCTCCCTCTCCCACTGCCCCTGTTTGTGTTCCCTCTCTCACTGTGTCTCTCTCTGTCAAATAAATAAAACCTTTTTAAAAAATAAACTTTTTGATTCCTCGAAAATTTGCACAGTTATCTACTTCACTTTGGTTGTGCAGACCTGATACAATCATTCAAATACTGTTAGTTAACTTATTCAGATAATTTTCATATTTGTATCCCATGTATGAAGAGCCATTACATCAACTCTGGGTAGTCGGGAGAGTTTTTCCAAGCCCTTAAACCAAGCAAAGGTCAAGCAAATGAGTCAAGGCCAAATAGTTTAAACAATCGGGACCATTAAAACATCCAAAACAACATATCCAGTCTCCAATTTTAGAATGTATTGACACTATTATATAGACCCTTAATAACCAACTAATGGGCTTCATCTAAATGAGACAATTGGTTCAAAAAAATGCACTTAA